TAACAAAATAATTATATACATAATAAATATAAAATACAGTAAAAGATAAATAATAAAATAATTTATTTCACTGACCTAATGAATATTAGAGAAATAAATTATACACCATCAATATCATTATTAAACTCAAGTAAAACAATAATTAAACTATAAAGTTTATTACTTTAAATATAAGTAATATTGTTCTCAAAACAATTAAACATTTGTCTCAAAATCATAAAACATTTTTATTCCTGAAGACCTACAATAAAATAAATTTTCAATTTCTCTAATCCCTTGTCTATCTGTAGACTTACTCCTCACCCTGATTCTCTCTTGAAAAATGTTAAATGTTTGGATGAGCACAATGACTCATGAATAGCAACCACCTCTAATGAGATGTGAAAATAAATTCTATAATTTATATACAAAAAAAAACTTTATACATACACAAGTACAACAAATTGTACCCCAACTCATTTCACATAATCATTTAAACAAAATAATTTTATGATCACAAAAAAACTTTATAAATGAAAAAACATTCATAACCTAAAACACTCACACACACACATTCAAATCCAAATATATTTGTCAAATCATTTTTATTACCACTAGCTTAGTAACTGGTCCAATTTCTTGTTGCTACTAACCTGGTAACTGGTTTAGTCTCTTTTGTTATTACTAGCCTGATAACTAACCCTGTCTTTTGTTATCACTAACTTGATAAGTGGCTCAGTTTTTTAGCATCACTAGTCTAATGACTAATCTAGTCTCTTATTATCACTTAGACCTGATAACCCCAGTCTCCGTCTTATAAACATGATTTTCACACATGCCAAAATTGTAGTTTTACTTTCAACGTACATAAAATTTCTCTTCCATGACCAAAGTAATGATATAAAATCATCCCACAAGTTTTCAAAATTCACATGTATAACAGTTCACAATTACAAAATATTTAATTGTAACCCCAAATATCAACACATATATCATATATATGAAAAATTCACACGTACAAATTTAATATAAAAAAATCCTTTCAAAAGAAATAGTAAACTATTCACCTTAATTTTCAAAATCCAATTCAAAGCATTTTTTATTACCTAATCCAAAAAAACATATATCGATCAATCTATATTCCTAATTTCGTCATTGTGCGATTCTATATTTATTTTACGTACTTCATACCCATTGATATATATTTTATATATCATTTACATAGAAATATCTTTTCTAATACGAGGTAATATGATATAGAAGTATTATGGGCTGTTTAAATTTTTTTTTAAAGTTTTGAGGTCAAATCATAAATTTTAAAACTTTTGGAGTCAAAGTGTAATTTCTTTAAAGAATAAAATTTTTTGTTTTCGGGACTGTCATAAATTTTTCAAAATTCTATTCTTCCAATTTACCAAGTAAAACAGTGGTTAAAATTAAATTTACAAAAATATAGAGGTCAAAGTAAAACTCTTTAAAACTAAAAGAGAGCTTTTTATAATTTCAAATTTCCTATGTTCTTTTTACCTACGACAAAACCTGAAACTTCCTTCTCCCCTTTTTTTTTTTTGGTTATTTTTTCTCCTTAACATATTGATCAAATTCTACCAACTTAATTTCAACAAATTATTTCAAAATTAACATTTATAATGAAACTCATTTATCTATTTATTAATATTTTCACCATAAACATATATATATATTACTATTTGTGATAAACTTAATATCATGTAATTGAATAAAATATAAAACCCATAAATTAAGTAATAAATTCATACATTTAATGGATTCAAGCTTTTTCTTTCTTTCCTCCTCTTTCCTTCTCTCTCTGACTCTCGTTTTTTTTTTCACTGAATAGATGTCTTCACAAACCTTCTCACTAAAAGATCATATCAAACCTAAATATATCGATACACACACACACACACACATATATGAAGAATTTGACCTATTTAATAATACTACCATATTTAAAACATATGTATAAAAGTTCTAATAGGTCTTTAGGGCAATACTTTTATTAGAGACATATTAGTCTTCTTTAATTATTTTTATCCTTATATATATATATATATGTATATATATAATTTCTTAGTTAGCCAATGCACAAAAATAAAATAATATTTTTTATGAATAATTACACCCGCCTTGCATTTCAATGGCTTTCTTTCCCTTTTTTTATCTTGAAACTTTCTCTTCACACTTCTATACTTTTTTTTTTTGGCCCAATATTATTTTTTTACCGATTTACAATATATTTGTATATATTAAATAATTTTTATATAATATAAATATACTATTAATAATTTGAACCTTAAGGCATTGTACAACAAAGAAAATTGAGCATCAGTTGTATCAAAATGCATACAAAATTTTATCAATCATTCAAAGACCAGTCATTTCTATCAATCATTTAAAACTAAAGTGCATCAAAATTCTATCAATCATTCAAAGATTCAAAACACCTTGACAGAATAAAAAAAAATGCATCAAAATTTTATGAAAAAGTGAGTTTTAAATTGAGAGAAAAATGACAACTCAAAATTTTGTGATTGAAAGAACTAATGTGAATAGTTCGTTGTCAATCCCTGGTGTGTCGAATATATCAAAATTAATACCAGTAATATGCCTGATATGCATTGATTTCCTTGGCAACAATATTTCATTACTATATGTTCATATTCATTCACGTTCAAAACAAAGGAAATCATTCTCGTTTGAGTTGTTGACTGTGGCCAAACAATAATCACTAAAAGCTAAAACACATGCCCAAAATTATGTTCAAGCAAACAAACCTCACCTCTTTAATTCATTGTAGGAGCAAAAACCATAGCCACAACTAACAAAAACATATGCACACACATCCCCAAGATAATCAATCTAAACAATACAATTAGGATTAAGATTTGGATTTGGATTCGGAGAAAGTTACATGACAGTTGATGGAGTCGGGAGACATTGGCAGTTTACTGCAATGGGTGGAGGCAATGGTGGCTGGGCAGTGACGTGAGAGATACGGGGTACTCTATTCTGCTTTGTAATAAGTGATACGCCTCTGTTCTAAGTAGTGAAAGAATTGAGAAAGATCAACATGGTTAAAATTTCACATATTCCAATGTCAATGTTAACCATCAATCTGCACAAATTGCTTGATCTTGACAAAAGTCAGAGGGAATGAAAGGGAAGAGATTTGTGTTTATTATAACTTCATAATTCTCTCAAACAAAATCAAAGTCTTAGCAATAAGGGTTGTATCATAGAAAGAGTTACCCTTAATTACTTTAAGCGCTCTTCAAATTCATCTTACTCCATGAAAATCGTGTCAACTGATTAAAAAGATTCGCATAGAGAACAAAATCAATGAAATGACACATTATACTATTCCAATACTAGGCCGAGCCAACAATCCATTTCTATGTAAGATCTCTATGGGTATCAAGAAGACATTATACAACTAAACAAAGCAAGTAGTATCTCCCATTTAACTTGCCCTAAGTATGACGATATTTAGCTAGGCAAGTATTTATATCTTCTTCTTTTTCCAAACATTCTGGGACTATCCTAATCCTTGCAGGTTCTGGTCTGCATCATTAAGCCTTTATTCTTTTCTCACAAAGCTTGTGTAATTAAACTAAGAAAATCATAACCATGCAAGTTGAAAATGAAAATCCTACCCGAGGCAACCTCAACGTTTGATTTCAGTTGTTGTTAATTCTTCCAATGCAACATCCTACAATTTGATTTTGCTTTTTTATCCTATCACGTGTCAACACTTTTCATAATGTATCCAAAAAGCAAAATAAATATAAAACAAATAACCAACAAAGTCAATTGAGCAATGAAAGATCCAAAACCCATTAATGATACATGGGCAATGAACACACCAGCGTAGAAGCATACCTATACCACTCCATTTCTTTCTTTTAACTTTCTCTTACACTGCTAACATCTCACAACGCCTTCATAACCCATAACCGCTGCATTGTCTACAACATTCACGCACACCACTCCATCACCCAATTCAACCAAAAATAATCAAATAAAAAATTAACATTGAATAAAAGATAAAAAATGTAAAATCAAAAAAGTAGCCAAAACTTGTGAATTATCAGAAGTTACCATTAACTTGATCAAGGTGCATGATATATTTTTTTCAATCACATAATATTAATCGCAATCAATCACCCAACAAAATTCCAACATACAATTTCAATCAATTAACGCATAATCTCAATTATGATAATCCTACAAATCTTATTGCGTGAATATAACACAACATTAAATCAAAAACACTAAAAACTATATTGCAACTCTATGTAATTAAAAACCTCATTAACACCCAAATTAAACACTAACAACTTTCACAATTATATTTGCAGTCCCGAGCTACTCATGTAACCCCAAATTGAGTGTAATACTAACAAAATCAAAAATTTCAAGCCGTTGAATCCTTGCATTCACAATACTTAATCCACACTACCACAATCAATAGCTCCACCACCGCACCTTCACTATACAATGTCACCCAGCAAAAATAGTTGTTATTTCAAACTTAAATTGCACAAACTAACCAAATAACCATTCAATCCAAATAACCATGTTTCCATGAGAAGTTTCATCAAACTAACCATGTGAATAACCAAAGATGTGGTATTTGTTCAATATATAATCGAAAGGAATTCCATGCTCTCAATTTAGGAATGGGGAAAGAGGCTAGGCAGTTACCGATTTAGGCAAGAATTCCATGCTAGAAAACACCATTCCAAATTGCACAAACAATGAACGAATGACCACAAACACCATAAATTGTCAACTAACAGAAGTGGCAGAAACAAAAACCTCATTAAGCAAACCTCATGGCGTAAACAAAAACCTCAGTAGACTTTACTTGAAATATGGTAGACTTTAATTTTGGTAGTCTTATATTAAGAAAAAATTGCAATTGAATAAGAGTGAGATGCTCAATTAAAAAGCATTGAATTGTAACTAATGTAAAATTAGTCAACCGATTATATTTACACAATTTTATAAGCAAAAAATTTGCTCAAAGTTCATGAATTCACTGATCACGACAAAGCTTGAAAGTGGAAGGTTTATCTCTGCTTCTCGTTGTAATAAACTTGGCTCCATCAAGTAACATGGGTACGTAGTGAACTGAAAAACACAATGATGAAAGTTATAGGTAAGACCAAAACAAAAAAGATTATCACTTGAGAACACATTTAAGCCAAACCAAAAAAAAATCTTTAGCTATCAAGATCACAAAAACATATACCACATGAAACTCATTCACTGATTCCTATATTGAAACAAAATCAAAGAGTTGGAAAAACCATTATACATAAAAGTAAATTTATAAAATAATATCAGCCCAAAGACTAAAACATCAGAGTTGCCAGTTTATTTAGCAAAAAGATGATCTCTCTGATTCTCTAGCATTACAGGTTGAGCTAACTCCCATCATGAAAGACAATAAAAGTCAAATTCTCTCATCCTTATTGTCCACACTGAAGGTAATGAAATTAGTCCTTGGTTTGAGATAGCTTGAACTGGATTGCAAATAAACAATCCATACTGCCCCAACCTCTAGTTTATTCGGATACATTAAATTAAATAAACAATTACTTTTTAACCATTCTTGGTCCTGGTATAAAAGTAGACAATGAACCATGTATATCATGAATGGATTAAAATATTTAGAATACTAATTAATACACTATCTATCTAATATTACAGCTAGTAAGTTGAATTCTAAACTTATAAAAGTATAACAAAGATCAAGATTGATTCAATTTTCAACTACTTTGAACAAATGGTATAAAATTCATTCCAAATTTTTTTTCTCAAAAATATTAACTCATCTAACACATTTTCCAATGATAATCAACTCCCGTAATCCACATCTATCTCTCTCTGCTTTCTCCCATATCGTTTATTTTTTCTCTGTTCACTTTCATTATAAATTGCATAATTAAAAATAATCAATTTTTGATATTACAAAGTACTTTCAGTTATGGAGTAGTTTATATTTGCTATATATAAATACTAAATAGTGAATGGGTCTAGAAATTTTTTTCCATTTTTTTTAAAAGGAGAGAGAGAGAAGAGAGATCATACCAACTCATCAACACAACGTAAATGAACGGATACACAAAACTTGTCATTCTCCATCTTTAGCACCAAGAGTAGATTTGGTTGTCTCTAACAAAGCTTGGTACACCTGAAAGTTGAAATTTTGGAGAATACTATTTTAGATCTCCAAATGTAAAATGTATTATTTTGATTGACTCAATAAGATGAAGAGTGAAGAATAACCTCATCGATCGTGGGAAGGAATTCACCGGCTGGTTGAAAGAGCACAACATGGGTATCCTGAGAATTATTAATATGAAACATTACAAAAATTTAAACAAATCACTATTAATAATCATGTGGAGTACCAATTAACTTAATAATCAAGAATAGATTAAGATGTTGTGACAATGAAAATACAACTAACTCACTTTCTCATTTTTGGAACCTTTTGATGGTCCTTTTATGTCCGTGCCACGGCTTCCAGCATAGTACAATTCCATTAATCATACAAAGTTGTATACCAATCATAAACAACAATTATTCCAAGCAAAAGACAAGAAAAAAAATGTACCTTGTCTCTGCACCTTCCTCTCACTATAGCACTCAAAAAATATCTAGCAAGTTTTCTCATATGAGAAAGAGAAGAAAGGAATTTTAGTAACACGATACATAAAAAAAAATTAAGTCAGATTTTTAAATTTCAAAACATTACTTTAAAAAAATATAACTATGGAATAAGATCAAACACCTTTTTATCCATGAAAGCTCGATCTGGGAAAGTGTGCCATTGTAGTCGAGAAACATTAGAATTTGATTCCCTTTGGAAGCATTTGTTATCTGCTCGAACATGTCCAGCACTAATGGATGTTTATCCTGTTTCATCAAATTATTCTACACACCTATCAGTTGTTATGTTTTTACCAAAGTGAAGCTATCAGCTGATATGTCATTGTACAATAAAAATAGACTCTAGAAAAAAAAACCAAAAAAAAAGGTGCTTTATGTCTGCTACATATGACGTACAGGTGCTATGTGGATATTGGTTGTAGTGGTTGTTGTGATTGTTCACGGCACTTTGAGAAATTTCATCAAATATTTAGTGGCGTCAAAAAATCGTCACAGATTTTTTTGACTACCCAATCGGTGGCACAAAAAGTTCATCACAAAGAACAAGTCAAAAATATGTAGTTGTTCTTTAGCTACCCAACTGGTGGGTGGGGTCTGGATCTAGGTTTGCATACAAAAATGGAGTCCGTGTTTGTGTGAAAATCAGAGATGAAGGTATTGGGGTTGTGGGCATGTGGAGTGGGGCTGGTGAGAGAGAGGGAGAGAAAGACAGAAAAAGAGGGAGTCATTGTACAATAGAGAGATGATGACAGAGATATATGAAAGCGTAGAGAAGGAGAGACAGTGAGAAAGAGACTCAAAGAGCGAAACCTGCAATGGTTTTTGGTGAGGGCGGGTGTTTGTGTGTGTGAGTTACGAGACAGAACAATGTGTGTGTGAGTCGTGAGACAGAGAGACGCAGAGAGTATGCAACTGTGCTGGTATGTGTGTTCTTCTGGGTGTGCGTTGTGCTTGTCGGATATTGCATAATATAAACACGAGAACAGATATCTCTTTTGGTGAACTCGAGTGAGTCAGTCGAATGATCAACCCTACTGCTTGGAACAGTTTGTGAGGTCCAGTGGTAGCCTAGAACGATAATGGGAGACTCTCGTGGATCAACGGAACGATCCAGTAAGGTTGAGGAAGGTTCCTAGAACAAAGAAAGACAAGTTAGAAGGGCGCCGGAGTGTTTTTCGGCGTATCCCCTCCGACGATCAAGTCAGTTTTTGAGAGAGAGGAAAAAGAAAACACTGAGTATATTTTTAAGAAAAGGTTTCACGTTCTTTATTTCCCTCCCTATCTTGCCTTTTGTGAGGAGTGTTTATACCTCAAAAACTCATGATTGCTGTCAGTGTGGTCAGTAGGTGACCATTAAATACAGGCAACGTGTGCACTGATTCCTATGAAGAATGTCTTCTCTTTTAATTGCTAGGGATCCCGAGCAACCAGGGCTGTGTCATCGACCTGCCGACTGTTTAATGAGCTCTTTTCGGCAAGGATGTAATAAATGTTCAGCCTTAGGGACATTTATTACCTTTCACTTTCGAGTCTTACCGCATTAAATGCTGTCTCATCAAGGGAATGGTATAATTAAATGCTTGCTTTCCCAAGTCGTGTGTCAGTAAGGACATCCGATCTTTTTGTCTCTGATGTGACACAATATGTTTTGCGTCCATTCCCCATTGGCTATGTCCCCTGCCTTCTTACACCAATTGTGTAAGACGAGGTCATGATGACTAATCTTAGCCTCTGCAGGAACAGAGAACGTTATCTTAGACGGGTACATCTCAGTACCGAGAGAATTGGTACATGTAAGAATCGATGTACCCTATCCGACCCCGAGGAATACGTGTCGGTACGTAACGTATTAGGTGTCATTGATCCCTATGAACAATATCTCGGAGGAACAGGGACTTGTGATCCGACGGGTACGTGTCGTGTTTATAGAAAAAAAATTTATTAATGCCGAAAACACGTGTCTTCATCTTGGAACACTTAAAAATATTCTATCACGCGTGATTTGTGAGAAAGAGAGAGAGAGAGAGAGAGAGAGAGAGAGAGAGAGAGAGAGGGGTACCTGGTCCATGGCAGATGAGCGATCGAGGAGGAGACATAAAGAGATAGGAGGTTTGGCTGCCTGGGTCTTCTTCCGACTGAGGAGCGAGAGGTGAGAAAGTGAGAGAGAAGGAGAGAGTGGGGTGACGTGCAGCATGATACTGACTGTTGATGGGAGCTGTACGTGCCAGATGTGTATGAGTTTGGGCGGGATTTGAGTTTTGGGTGGGATGGGATGTAAATCTTTGAATTTAATTAGATGGATTTAGACGAGAGTATAAATTGCATACAAACAGTTAAATCAAATCCTAAATATTCTTCTGTTTTTTCTAAATTGGAAGGGTGAATTTTAATTAGAAAATTTTGAAAATGAAAATAAAATAAAAAATAAGTATATTCTCCGGGCATTTCCGTTCTCATAATTTTTAAAATTTTTGCTTTGCCCGCACGCGATCCCGGAGACGCTCCTCTCATCGATCGGCAACGTGCACTCATCCTTACCCCCTGTTCTCTGTTTCTCTCTCTAGAATCTCTTGTCACCTACTCAATTAGATCTGAAAAAGCACACACGCACGCACCCACAGCTCGAACCAACAATGTCCGTACACAATCAAGCTGCGGCGGCAGTCCTATCGCAACCAGCTCTAGCCACCGACGGTGCAGTTCTCGGCATAGCCCTTGCCTACGTAGCCGTTCGGAGCATCCTCAAGTTCACCGCCAACTCCGCTGCCCTCCACAAAATCCGAGACGCCCCTTCCGTTCTCGTGTCGGACCTTCGTTCCATCATCTCTTCGTCCGGTGATGACGCCGACAGTTCGGACCCATCTGACGGTGAAAAACTGGTGATCGTTCGAGGCGTTGTCGAAGCGAAATCGGCTCTTGATGGCATTTGGAAGAGATTGAGGCCTAATGTGCTCATCTGTCACGAGTCTGGTGAGAAAGGCGTTGTCTTGCTGAGAACGCAAACGGTATAAATACTTTCTATGTTGTTACTTTGTTTTCTCAATATGCACAGTTATATATTTGCTCTTTTTGTTGTAGTCATTTTACTATTTAGTGTTGATGATTCCTAATAGCTGAGATTTCATTGCTTTCATTATCTTCTCTATAATTCCTTGCTTAATCATGGTACTCAAAATTATCCAGCAAATTGGTTCTTAATTGAAGTCTGTGGATCTGAATTGTGAGATTTTGCTTATTATCTATTTATCTTAAAGTTAGGGCAACTCCAATGGGAGTGCTATTTGGGGTGGCAAACCCTTAACCGCCAAAATGCCACCCCAAAATTAAAAAAATTCACTCCAATGGGGGTGACATCTGGGTTGGCAAAATGGTAACTATGGGTTTGGGGTGGTAAATTTGCCAACTTTGGAGAGAGAATGGGAGAGGTTGCAAAAAGCGGTTGAGTCTATTGTTCAGAGAAAGAGAAAGGGGAAGGAGGTATCTACTTGCCTGAAAATCGTCTTGCCTCACTGATATATGTTTGTCTTACTGTATATTGCCTGAAAATCGTCTTGCCTCACTGGTATTTTGGGTGATTTGGTTTAGGAAAAGCAGAAAGGGAAGGGGAAGGGTTTGTCCGGTGTGGAAAATCGGTGCCTACTATTTATTTGAGGACAAATGATACATTCTACCCCAAACTTATTTTGTATTGTCATATTACACCATTAATTTCTTTGTATTTTCATATTACACTATTTAATTATTTTGTATTGTTATATTACACGATTAATTATTTTGTATTGTCATATTACATCATTAATTTTTAATTTTTAAATTTTTATTATAAAAATATATCCGTTAAATTGCGATCGATATGAAACTATACCCATTGAAATATAATTGTTAAATTTAATTATATTTTTTAATAAAAAATATTAAAATATTAAAATGGCACCCCATTTTGGCACCTACCATTAGGGGTGCAACTTGGGTTGGACAACCCGATATCAACCCGAGCCCAACTCGAAAAAATTAGGGTTTGGGCAAGAGTTTTTAATATTTGGGTTGGGCTTGGGTTAAATAACCCCAACCCGAATTCAATTTGGGTTGGGCCCGAGTTAAGGTCTCGTGAATCCGAGTTTAATTATATATATATATATATATATAAAGCATTAGCACTGGTTTTTAATTTTTATTCTATCGTTCTCTTTGCCTCTCTCGTTCTGTCAGCCTCTCTCGTTAAAAACTTAATTGAAGTTATTGGTTGTTAATTTAGATGAATATTATGTAATATATGTATTAGGTTTTGAACAACAAGCTTATTTTGAGTTCTACCCGAATTGAACCCGTAAAGTAACTCGAAATCAGCCCGAAATCATTAACCCGAATTTAAACTGAGCCCGCCTGAATTAAATTCGGGCAGTGCTCAGGTTGAGTTCTCCAACCCGAGGTAGAGTTAGGGTTAGGGTTAGGGTTGAAGATTATATACCTATGGTTGATGGTCCAACCCGAGTTGCACCCCTACCTACCATTGGAGCATAAACACTGTTCAGGAATGCCAAAACACTGTTCAAGGTTGTAAAATGACATTTGGCACCCCATTTTTGGCAACTCCCCTCAGAGTTGCTCTTAAGGTTTCATCCATGCGAGCTGAATAGACGTATTTATCTTGGTGCAGATGACAAAAATGTTAAATTTCTGTTTAATGAAGTCTCCATTCCTGAGTAAGTCATGAGACAGAATGTAAATGATTTGCCAAAAAAAGAATTTTACGACTTTATGACTTCTTGTTTAGATGCTATGTTCTTCTTAGTCTAACTTTGTAGGGACTTTCGTTTGACATTGTGGTTTATGTGACGTAGTTTATATACAACGAGTGGAGGGGCTTTTTTGGATGGACTTCTGATCTACGCTCTTTATTTGGGAGATCCTGGAAAGAGCAGGAGTCTTCCTCTTTAAGAACGGTATGTCTTTGATAAAATCTAGTCTTTTCTCTTTCCTATTAGCTTTTAAAACTATTAATCTCCACTCAAGACATGCTATATGGTCAATCCTGTGCACGAGGTTTCTATCACTGTGGGGTCATTAGAGGGTTACATGCGCATGGCATTACTGCAGAGTTCTATTGAAAGTAATATTCTGTATTCAGGGTTCACATGCATGAGACAATATTTCTTGCAGATTTAATACTATGTAACATAGATATCTTGATCAATGATTGTTGATTGAGTAATCTTTCAATTCTAAAGTGAAAGCTCTATGGTCAGTATGAGGCCTCTGTTTCAATAAAAAGATTGTTAAATCCATAATCACTCTTATGCATTAACAGTTTTTTATCATAGGCTGCAACAAGTAATACAATATTCTACTGCAATAAAATGGATGTTCCTGCCGCTATCAAACAAATTTGAAGGTGATGTTTGAACTATGAATTCAAAATGCAATGTACGGCACATTATTGGTTAGTGAGCTATCAGGTTGCAAGTGCATTTATGCACATTAAGTGAAAGCTCTATTCTCATCAATGTCTTGTTTAACTTATTGAGTTGGCAATAAGTAACTACTGGCGGCAGTCCTGTGCGGTGAAGAAAATTTGTTCATATTTTTTTGTGATTTTTTGAGGGGTATGGAGGGTTCATCAGACCCTACTTTTTTTCTCCATAGTATTCTTTAAAATTGTTATAAATGATGTGGCTTTGTGCATGGACTGAGGTTAGGACTTCTGCATGGAAAGGGTGAAACCCTTGAGGCTATATGGGATAGGGACTGACAAAATGCTTTGAAGAAACATTTGAATAGGTCCCGTATAGGACATATTGGCGTGTATGACTTGAAGCCTCGTATGTGGCTTGGTGAAGAAGTCTTAGCAAAGAATCCAGGTTGAAGCATGTGTATCAGTTTAAAGCCGGTCGATACCCTAATAGGTGCTGAAAAATTAAACATATTAGTGGCTCTGTAAGTGCTTTACTCAAGCACAAGTAGCTACTGCTAAACGGCCTGAACTCAATGCTAAATGCACATGAGGTGGTTAAGATTTTACAGTTTAAATATCCATATCAATGATCGTATTGAGGTTTTTGATTTTGCAAGAAGTTATAAGGGAAGGCTTGGGGTTGAGATGGAGAATTCTTGAATCATGTCCATGTACTTTAGTTATCTCCATATTGAGATTTCAGAAGTTGGAAATTATTGTGTAGGGGAAACGTCATTGCTACTTGTTCTTTTGACCTATTACTACAATATATACTTATTGTTTCTGAGTGTCAATCATGTTGACTCTGAGGTGGTTATCTGTTTTTCTCGTTTTCTCCACAGGTTCCATTTATTCTTGTTGAAGGTGGTTGGTGGCCGCAATCTGATTATGTGATTGTGAACTTGGATGGCTCAATACAACCACTACCGCTTACAACAGTTTATCACCACTTGCAGCCCATTAATGCTACTCCTTATACTTTCCTCCGGGCACTTTTTGGTCTCGAATATCCTGTGGGTTCAAAATTATGAGTCATGACTGGGTTTCTTTGTGTGTAAAAAAAAATTAGATTCTGAACATTCTTCTTTCTTCCTACTTCTTTAGTTGTATGTACATGGGTTTTGTTATATGATGATTCTACCCAAGATTATTGATGTAGTATTTGTTTGTTATCAAAGGTTGGACTGCTGGATGAAGAGAAAATCCTTCCACAGTTGGCATTTGCAGTTTGAAAAATGAAACTCCTGAGATCAGATCATGCAAGGATCTTCCCTATTTTTTGTAAGGAAGTTTGTTATAGAAGTATTTCCTTAGATTACAAAGTTGGAGTTGTGCTTAAATCTACAAATTTTCTAATCCTTCTAAAAGGTCAAAAAATATGACATTTGGTCTTTGTGAAGGATGAGTAATAAGGGTGTAACAACTGAACACCTTACTAGCTCTGCTTTTATATATATTCAATCACTATCCGCTTGTGTGCCACCCGGAATTATGATCTTTTTGTTGAAGAGGATTTCATTTAGTGCTATTGTGACTCATTACATCAACTACTTCTGAGATATATTTGGTACTTTTATAGGTCTGTCATGACTAAGGATCAGATGGTGGTGGAACTTGCCTTCAAGACAAAAGTTTTCCTTTGGAGTGGAGTTGTTCTTGGTTCACTGGCAGTAGGCATCCTTGGCTATGCTGCAGTCAGGTACTATTACTAAGCTATGTAGCCTTGTATTATCTCAGTATTTTTTTGATTGGAGCTTCACTTGGTTGTGAAGAGAGAATGCTGAAACATGAAACAAATAGGTGGATGAAGAATATGAAAGGAGATCAAAATCATTTACTTGCATTGGGTTTTGATGAAATTTTTGTTTGTTGACAGTTCTATTTTATGACAAAAACAGTATAAAATTATAAGTGAAATTTTGCTTTAATCTAAATCGAGGACAATAACTGGTTTATATGGGTTATCAAAAGTGTTTTTTATGGTTATGCTATTTTATGTTTTTTCAAAACATAAAAAAAAAAAAAGAAGAAAAATGTGTAAAACTCCAACACCATCTAGTTCATTAATTATGAAATAAAAATCACATACATAGGGAAGGGGCTTGTAATAAGAAGAAAATTTAGAGAAAAAGAGTTTTAGCATGAAGACAATTGGCAAATAGAGATTCCAGATCAATTTACTCCTTTGATGGCATTGCCTGTCTTGTATTTTATATGCTCTATTTTCTTGGAGTGACAATTTGGGTGGTCATTTTTTGGGACTCCAAGCTATGAGGGAATCAATATTCCCAATATTTTCCTTTTTCTCCTAATCAGACTCTTGAAAAATTGAAAATGCTTCTTTCTTGCACTGGCTCTCCAACTAGTGAAATTCAGCCTCAAATAGTTGAGGTGAAATGTGAGGTTCTGGAACAGTTGTTATTTCATTTGTGGCTCTTATTGAGGTTATAACAGTGGTAGTGGATATATCTGGTGGATATTTCAGGCAGAATGGAACTGATAAATCCAGGCAAATGATTTAGTTCATTGAAAAGCTGTGAATTAATCAAAGTAGACCAATTTAAATAATCCTTTCAAGGGGTGAATGGCATGCATTAAAATTTTAAAATTCACTAGAACTCAATTGGCTCAATTACTTTTGACGTATTGTCTTAATGGCCATCAAAGTTTAAGAGGTTAGAAATAGCATCACCCTTGATCAAGATTTTAAGTGCCTTAATCAGAATCACATTAATTTGTTCAGGAACTGGAATAGATGGAAAGCATGGAGATAACTGAGGCAGGTCCAGCAACAAAATGCTGCCGCTAACAATGAGGCCGACTCTCAGATTGTAGCAGAGGATGAGGAAACTGGAGATGTTCAAGCTGGAGAGTTGTGTGTGATCTGCCTAGTGAGGAGAAGGCGGTCTGCATTCATTCCATGTGGGCATCTGGTGTGTTGCCAACGCTGTGCTCAATCAGTTGAATGTGAGGAAGCACCAACGTGTCCTGTGTGTAGGCAGACTATCCAGAATTCGGTAAGGATTTATGATTCTTGAGGAACAGAAAAATTACAATTTCCTTGAGTAGTTGTTTGCGGTCAAGGTGTTCACATGTTTGGTAAAGCAGTAGAAAACATGTATGGTCTTCAACAGTTATAGATGAAGCAGTAGCAACAGGAATGCTACGGCTCCTTTGTGTCAAAAGGAGATGCAACAAATTTTCTCAGTGATGTTCGTTGAGAAGTATTTGACTTGATTGGAAAATGAAATTTGGTGTATATATTATATATTTATTTTACATATTGTCCAGAGTTATCCTGATTTCTCCAGAATCTTGATGCTTCCCTGAGCAGATTGGTTTGAGTTCATTGCTTTTTGGCCTTCTCTGGAAAGTTATTTGAAGGTTTTGCCCGTTGCAACATCTATAACGTGTGTGTGTGCTTACCGATGATCGGTGGACTGGCTATGGCATAGATACGGGTTATTGCCTTACTGATGTCGCTTGTGGAGGAGATTTCCCCCACTTCCCATTGAGGTTAGTCGTCTGTCTGGGTTATCCTGAGCTTTTACTCGATTGTAGGCGAGATTGCCATTCACTCGCTCTTTGGCTCCCTGTTTCACATCACCCACGTCGAGGGGAGTAGGTCGGGTGAAGGGCTGTGTAAGGAAGGTAAAAAAAAAAAAGGGTAAAGAAGGTGGTAGTGGGTAGCCAGCCAACACATTTACACACTAGATTGTGCAAGCATGCTAGTTTTCATGTTATTTGCGCTGGATATGGTGTTATGTGATTTAGTATATGTCATAAAAACTATGAACTCAAATTGTTATATCGGGCAGTTGGATATGAAATTTGCAGCTGAGCCATGAACGAAGTGTTGCTCTCTGTTGGAAGGTTGCAGAACACAAACAAAACAGGTAACAAGAACACAAGGATGACAAGTAGCCTTAATATTTATAGCTCAAACCTCTGGTCAAATTTACACAAAGAAAAGGAAAGAGAACAAACACATCGCAATAACTGTTTTTAACTGCCATTTGCTTTGGTATCTAACTTCCATAGCGAACAAAAGGAAACAGGTTGCCATTTCCACCACAATTCCACACACCCATCTTTCTCTTCGACTTTCATCTCCCAGTGACTATCATACTTCCTCAATAATGCTCTAGCTCCGTCAAGGGCATCCTCTCCAAGCAGCTCCCTAACAAACCCAACACCTCTCATTCTTTCACACCACTTCTCTTTCCTCTCATTCATCTCACCAGTGTTTGTCAATGCCTTGGCGGCCTCTCCTTCCATCATCCTTCTTTCTTCACTCTCACGCCCTTTAAACGCTACACTTGTTGAGTCTAGGAACCTCCATAAGTACTCCACTCTCCTCGAGAATCCTGTTGCAAAGTCCCCACAGTTGTTGCAGCTACAATCCATGTTGTTTTCGCTCAAAATCATGCCTTTTGGCTCCAAACTCCTCAATGCTCTCAAGAACTCAGTTCTTGTGTCTGGGGTGTGGTGATTCAGATTGTGGAGTCTAAACTGAGCACAAATGACTAATGTTTCGTCATTGGAGGAGTTAATAACTTGGGGATTCAAATTCTCTAGTGGGTGGTTGTCAAGCCTATTAATCTGTAAATTGATGTTCATGGCCTTGGCAAACCCCAAGAGCCGTGAGGAATAATTGTACCCGGGTGGACCATTTGCAAATGGAATATCGCTTGTTTGATTAAGGCCGATGGTGGGAGTGACAACAGTGAGGCGAACAAGTGGAGGTGGCCCACCAAATCGACGAGTCAATTCCTCTAGGAGTGTTGGCCACTGAACACCATGAGAGACTCCAATATCAAGGATGTGAAGATTTCGCGGGCGATCTTCTTCTGCGAGAATTTGAAGAATTGAGGAGTTTGCGATGCTGTTTGGAATGCGAAACCAGGGGTTAACATCATTGAAATCAATTAGGGACTTCTGGAAAAATTTTGGTCCGGTAGAAGCAAAAGCAATGGCACCTGCTGAAACAGAGGAGGAGCCAGAGGATAGGTGGTGGGTTAGTGCTCGGAGGCCATGATTGGCAAGGCGGTGATTGGCATCGCCAGTGGAGGCGGCGAGCTCATGGAGAACATACAGGAGGTGCTGAACACGAGTCAAGTTTCCAGAAGTGATGGCTACAGCACAAGGGTTGAGCAAGTGCTCTGCCCACCTTCCTTCTTTATAATTACCGTTATTACAGTTATTTCCTGCTGACTTGGCTGTTGCCCTCTTAGTTCCAACTGATTTCTTAACTGCCATCCCTTGTTCAACAACTGCATCCACATCCTCCGCGTCGTTGTCCCTACGGTTCTGATTCTTTCTGAGGTTCTGGGACGCCTTGGGAACCAAGTCATCAGATATTTTTCGTTTCTTTGATGAATCATACAGCGGTGGATGATTGGAAATGATAGAATTTGCAGGAGGTGTGCTAGGGGCAGTGGTTATGGGGGAGTTGCTGTTAAAAGAGATAGAACTGTTATTGATTAGTTCTTGGTCCAGATCTTGGCCTTGAGCCCACCATGAATCGCCATTGATATCTCCAGAGTTGTACGGATCATCGAGGAATGATGGAAGGTATAGTAGTGAACCCTCTAACCAATCTAATATGTGATCTGAGGTGGGGTTTGGCTCTGGTTCTTCAATGGTCATTGTGCTTGAAATTGTGTGTTGTGTGAGAGAGAGAGAGAGAGAGAAGGGGAGAGGGGGAGGCTATGATATGGTGTTTGATCATTGACCAAAGAGTAAAGGCAACAGAGCATGAAATGGTCTATGGTGTGGACTAGTGGCTTGGAAGAGTTAAAATAATAAAGGGAACAGTGGAATATTTCCAAAGAGACGGTGAAGGGCATATATTCAAAGCGTTGGTGTGCTGTGTTTTGGAAGATATGATGTTTTATTAAGGTTGTCAAAGTCTACCTAAACTCTCTCATTTGTGCTAGTCATTAACTTTATTCTGTTTTATGTCTACCTAAACTCTCTTATTTGTGCTAGTCATTAACTTATTCTGTTTTATGTCATGGTTGTGGAGATCTACAGACAAAGATTAGAGACGGCAAGTATATTGAAAGTTTGGGATGATGATAGGGCCGAGTCTAAATTATCAAGGGACGGCAAACTCCTTTTCATTTTATAAAAAAAATAAAGAGATTTTTTTGTTTGAGATTGCCTTCTGCTGTGGCCCATTTGGCTAAAATATATATTGATTTTGAAAACGACAATACTGACCCGCAAACAACCCAATTGTCGTTCTTAGAATCAATAAATATTTTACCCTTTTTCTTAAATAGGAATTGCACTTTCAACCTGTCCCAAATTGTTCTGAGCCCCAATAGGTAGATTGTTGATTCAACGTAGATGTTCTCAATGCTTTGGGATACGTATAAGCTAACTACTAGTCTCTCGTAGAGATTTCTATCTATCTATAAGGAAAAGGACCGGTCGTGATGAGACTGAGAAAATATTCAATGTAGCGGGAATACCACCTTAGTAGGGTCATGTGACATTACTATTTAAAAAAAATATTAACAAGTGAGAAAAATTAACAAGTGATAGACCACACAGGCATTAAGTCAAAATGTGTAGACGCTGCATCAACATTAGATAATTACAAGACTTGAACACACGAAACAAATCCTTAAAAGGTTTCCATCATCAACCTGGGCAGTAGAACAAAAGAAAATATTTTTGTTTGAAAAGTCTTCAGGTATCCGGGCATGATTTATGCCTGGATTTCTTATTTAACCATGCCCGGATCTCTTATTTGGGCACATCATATGTTTAGTGTGGACTTAGACATTGATACCCATGCCTATTTTTTTATTTTTATCATACATTTTGACAAACACTATTATTTTTCTCATGCATTTTGACAAACACCTGGTCAATATTGCAAAGTGTTTCGCCAATTACATGTGAGGGTGGTCTCATAATCATAAAGAGCTAGTTTTAAATCTAGAATTAAAAAAAAAAAAAAAAAACAAATCTAAGAAATAAAATCAAAATATTTTCAAGAGTCAGACTCGTATTTGAAAAGGAAAAAAAAAAAAATCCCAAATCATAAAATTTGGGGTTGGATCTGTGAACTACTAACAAAATTAGGAAGAAATTACCTGAGCTTGATTGTTTCTTCTCTCTCTCTCAGTCTCTCTTGCATGCTGGCTTCATTGGCTGTGAGAAATTCAACTCCAAGAGACTCAGCTACGAAAGAAACCCCATTTACTGCAAAGATTTTGTGATCAGATATTGGAACAAACACATAACCAACAACCACCCCCAACCACCATTTCTCCTCTCCAAAGCCTCCCATCTCTCCGCCGTCTACTCCGCCATTTTCACCAAACTCGTCGCCACAGCTCTTCCCACCTCTCTTCTTTCTACTCCGTCACCAACTTATGTTGCCTCTTCAACTCACCACCCCAATCAATCCAAACAAACACGACCACAAAGATGCCAACTTCGCATTTACACTAACAAACACTACTCCAACTACGAAACCTCTCACCTAGGCAGTGCAGACTTGGCGGAGCAAAAAGTGACTAGGAGGGGATGAGTAGAGGGGTAGACTGCCATGGGCGTTAGTGAAAAAGAAGAGAAGGAATCTGATCTGAGTAACAACGATCGCAAAGGGAGAGCAGAGATCAGGTTTTATTTCGTCCGTCATCACTCGTTGGTGGGAATGGAATGAGTAGGGTTTATTTAGTAATGCCTAATCCCATTATTTATGGGATTAGCTATCCTTAAGAATGGGAATCCCATTATTTATGGGATTAGCTATCCTTAAGAATGGGAATGAATTTTCATTACTGCAAACCAAACAAATGAATGGTTACTACTAAGGAATGCATATTCCATTCCCAAGACCTAATCCCACCTAGCAAACACAATGTAAGGGTTTCCACCATTAGCCTGAGCATTAGTACAAAAGAAAATTTTTCCGTTCGGAAAACTGATCTGCAGGTATCCAGGCATGGTTTATGCCAGGATCTCCTATTTGGGCTGGGCTTAGACATTGATACCGTACCTACTTCACCACAGCAACCATGATCATAGTTGTCCCCACATTTCCAATCCTCAAAAATGAATGCCTAGTTCTTTAATTTTAGTACCGCTATAGGTGCTGATCTACTGCTAGAACCCATCACCATGATCATGAGCACATTTCACACAAATCCTATATGTATAAATGCTCATACTTCTCAATGTGGGGGTGATTGAAGACAGATGCTTGTCACCAGCACCTTCAGACTATCAGCAATTTCAGAGGAATTGAACAAACTAATGTTACAAACCATTCATCCAAAGATGAGTAATATTATTTCCGCACTGTTTCATAAAGAAGCAGAACTCATCCACATCAACAGCATACACACACAAGTTCAGAAGTTGATTGCATACCACAAAAGAAACAGAAGAAGGACCTTCTACTCGAAATAAAAGATCTTTCCACAATTTCGTAATACTATGAATGCAGTGATGATACAGGTTAGCCAAAAGAAATAACACAGAAAGAAAGGTTAAGATCACTCAGCAACAGAATGTGAAAAAGGGGTTGTTCTGATTTGATTAATAGCCGGGTAAACGGAACCAAGTGTGAAAATGAACAAAGTAAAATGAATGAACAAATTGTGAAAGAATCGAAAACAAGAATTACCCATTTACAAGAGCCACAACCACCAACCATCTGATAAAACCTTAATCTGTAGTGTCTATAGTAGACTCTATACAACGTTGATACCCCAATTAACCCGCAATCCGTATTCTCGAGCCGATCACAAAAAATGTCTCCAATCAGTGGACCACAACCTCAAAAAAATTGACGGAAAATGACGGAAAATAAAGTTTCAAATGCAGCGGTAGGTTAATATCAGCCTCTATTTTTCAACAATTGCCGCCTCTTGATTACCAAGAACGCCACCACACCAACTTGCAACCAGGCCACGATTCCCACAAACACCAAGCCAATTTTCCTCCCAAAATTCAGTTTTTCTTTTTGATTCGATGGTGGTTTCTTATTGCCATGTGGGTTACGATTCTCGTCGTTGTTGTGCCCTCTACGCTCTGACTCCGCAGACGATTCTGTTTTGTTATTTGAGGGAGGACTTAAGGAAGGACGGTGAGGGCGTGTTCTTGGTGAGGGCGGAGGACGTAGAGGTGGAAGAGGTGGCGCTGGAGGAGGGGGTGGAGGAGGTGGAGACGGAGATGGCGGAGGAGGTGGAGACGGAGATGGTGGAGGTGGAGATTGGTCAGGAGATGGTGGTGGAGGCGGAGGAGGTGGTGGTGGTGATTCAGTAATCACATTTTGTTGGGACTCCACGACTAGGGCAAAGAAACTGAAGGTAACCCCCAAACATACAACGACCAAGGTCAACAATGGCGACTCCATTTGACGATCTCAATCGAAATCAGGGCTATTTCTCGCATCAGGGTGGTTTGGTCCCAATTTCTCTATTTCTTCTCCAAATTCAACAAATCTGGATCAACAAACGGGCAAAAAGAATTAGGGTTAGGAAATCAAGAAGGATTTTTCTTTTTCCCCTTAATGTGTGTCAAAAACCAACGAAATGGGTTTGATCTGGTCGCAAATAGTTGATTGATGCGAGAACACAACAGAATATAGGTAGGAAGAACTAGTGTTAGGGCATTACATTACTACGTATCTTCTCGATTTATTCCCTTTCTGAAGAGTCAACAGATTGGGTCAATCATCAGGTTATGATAAATCAAAGACTAGGTCGTCAATTTAGGGTTTCCCACACTTCTCTGCGAGAGAGAGAGAGAGGATTATTAGATCGGGGCGGGCTTAAACGATTGGCCTTAATTTAGGCAATTGATTATTTTGTTAAGTGCAAGTAACTTGGGTCATGGCACGAATAACTTCACTTTTGATTAAATAGAAAAGAGTATTAGTTCAACTAAAAATAAATTGCTTGGGTAAAAACAAAAACAAAAACAAAAATAAAAAAATAGCTGTATCTTTTTATACTTTTTCTTTAATTTATAAATTTTTAATTATTTTGTTCAACAATTATCCTAAATATTCTAACAATCATCCTAAATAGTTACTCATAAACTTCCTTATTAACTAATTTTAATACTTTGTTGAATATTTATTTAATATTTTTTAAAAATAAAATTTCAAAATCTTAATATACTTGCAATTTTTTCTAATTTTTTTAAATAATTAAATAAAAAAAATAATGAACAAACAAATTAGAAAAAAAAAGGAATGAATTAAGTTTCGTGAATTTACAAGGGTGGGTGGGACGTTAATTTGACGATATAAGAGAGGAAACTAATCTATACAAAATATAGTGCATTGGGCTTTTGCTGACAATATCTGGTATTGGACCTGAGCCAGTTTATGATTTGATGTGGTTGGGCCAATAGATCCTAAACATTAACATGTTTTACCCATTTATGGATGCCCAAATAATCAAAGCCAGACCAGCCCACATGTGCCCAGGCTGTTACGTAAATTCGTCAACTTGTTGAACTTCCATTCCTATAGTACCAATTTCGTAATGAATGCATTTTGACTAATGTTGACTCTCCTCCTAATTATTGTCCAAATTGATAACAGAGCACAACACGTGTACTTGATAGAGGGACATTTCTATTTTTTTCCCTTCTTTTTCCACCTATTCAATCAGCATCTTATCGATTTGAAACATGAAATCCAAAAATTTTAACCGGTCCATTAGAATGTTAATGGACCAAAGCGAGGGCAGGAGATATAGTCTTCATCATTGTACCTGCTTAAAAACCCTTCGTTTATCCCTGGTCCATTCCCGCTAACGGGGACAATTTTTATTCTCATCTCCGTCCGCGAGTAAATTATAATCCTCGTCCCTGTTTTTTCCGTACCCGCTCAAGTCCAAGCCCAAGTTCAAGCCAACATAAATTCTAAATAAATTTAATATTTTAAATAATCCAACAACATTATAAATAATCTAATACTACANATTTATTTAGTAATGCCTAATCCCATTATTTATGGGATTAGCTATCCTTAAGAATGGGAATGAATTTTCATTCCTGCAAACCAAACAAATGAATGGTTACTACTAAGGAATGCATATTCCATTCCCAAGACCTAATCCCACCTAGCAAACACAATGTAAGGGTTTCCACCATTAGCCTGAGCATTAGTACAAAAGAAAATTTTTCCGTTCGGAAAACTGATCTGCAGGTATCCAGGCATGGTTTATGCCAGGATCTCCTATTTGGGCTGGGCTTAGACATTGATACCGTACCTACTTCACCACAGCAACCATGATCATAGTTGTCCCCACATTTCCAATCCTCAAAAATGAATGCCTAGTTCTTTAATTTTAGTACCGCTATAGGTGCTGATCTACTGCTAGAACCCATCACCATGATCATGAGCACATTTCACACAAATCCTATATGTATAAATGCTCATACTTCTCAATGTGGGGGTGATTGAAGACAGATGCTTGTCACCAGCACCTTCAGACTATCAGCAATTTCAGAGGAATTGAACAAACTAATGTTACAAACCATTCATCCAAAGATGAGTAATATTATTTCCGCACTGTTTCATAAAGAAGCAGAACTCATCCACATCAACAGCATACACACACAGCTCAAGTTCACAAGTTGATTGCATACCACAAAAGAAACAGAAGAAGGACCTTCTACTCGAAATAAAAGATCTTTCCACAATTTCGTAATACTATGNAGTTCAGAAGTTGATTGCATACCACAAAAGAAACAGAAGAAGGACCTTCTACTCGAAATAAAAGATCTTTCCACAATTTCGTAATACTATGAATGCAGTGATGATACAGGTTAGCCAAAAGAAATAACACAGAAAGAAAGGTTAAGATCACTCAGCAACAGAATGTGAAAAAGGGGTTGTTCTGATTTGATTAATAGCCGGGTAAACGGAACCAAGTGTGAAAATGAACAAAGTAAAATGAATGAACAAATTGTGAAAGAATCGAAAACAAGAATTACCCATTTACAAGAGCCACAACCACCAACCATCTGATAAAACCTTAATCTGTAGTGTCTATAGTAGACTCTATACAACGTCGATACCCCAATTAACCCGCAATCCGTATTCTCGAGCCGATCACAAAAAATGTCTCCAATCAGTGGACCACAACCTCAAAAAAATTGACGGAAAATGACGGAAAATAAAGTTTCAAATGCAGCGGTAGGTTAATATCAGCCTCTATTTTTCAACAATTGCCGCCTCTTGATTACCAAGAACGCCACCACACCAACTTGCAACCAGGCCACGATTCCCACAAACACCAAGCCAATTTTCCTCCCAAAATTCAGTTTTTCTTTTTGATTCGATGGTGGTTTCTTATTGCCATGTGGGTTACGATTCTCGTCGTTGTTGTGCCCTCTACGCTCTGACTCCGCAGACGATTCTGTTTTGTTATTTGAGGGAGGACTTAAGGAAGGACGGTGAGGGCGTGTTCTTGGTGAGGGCGGAGGACGTAGAGGTGGAAGAGGTGGCGCTGGAGGAGGGGGTGGAGGAGGTGGAGACGGAGATGGCGGAGGAGGTGGAGACGGAGATGGTGGAGGTGGAGATTGGTCAGGAGATGGTGGTGGAGGCGGAGGAGGTGGTGGTGGTGATTCAGTAATCACATTTTGTTGGGACTCCACGACTAGGGCAAAGAAACTGAAGGTAACCCCCAAACATACAACGACCAAGGTCAACAATGGCGACTCCATTTGACGATCTCAATCGAAATCAGGGCTATTTCTCGCATCAGGGTGGTTTGGTCCCAATTTCTCTATTTCTTCTCCAAATTCAACAAATCTGGATCAACAAACGGGCAAAAAGAATTAGGGTTAGGAAATCAAGAAGGATTTTTCTTTTTCCCCTTAATGTGTGTCAAAAACCAACGAAATGGGTTTGATCTGGTCGCAAATAGTTGATTGATGCGAGAACACAACAGAATATAGGTAGGAAGAACTAGTGTTAGGGCATTACATTACTACGTATCTTCTCGATTTATTCCCTTTCTGAAGAGTCAACAGATTGGGTCAATCATCAGGTTATGATAAATCAAAGACTAGGTCGTCAATTTAGGGTTTCCCACACTTCTCTGCGAGAGAGAGAGAGAGGATTATTAGATCGGGGCGGGCTTAAACGATTGGCCTTAATTTAGGCAATTGATTATTTTGTTAAGTGCAAGTAACTTGGGTCATGGCACGAATAACTTCACTTTTGATTAAATAGAAAAGAGTATTAGTTCAACTAAAAATAAATTGCTTGGGTAAAAACAAAAACAAAAACNAGGATTTTTAGATCGGGGCGGGCTTAAACGATTGGCCTTAATTTAGGCAATTGATTATTTTGTTNGATTATTAGATCGGGGCGGGCTTAAACGATTGGCCTTAATTTAGGCAATTGATTATTTTGTTAAGTGCAAGTAACTTGGGTCATGGCACGAATAACTTCACTTTTGATTAAATAGAAAAGAGTATTAGTTCAACTAAAAATAAATTGCTTGGGTAAAAACAAAAACAAAAACAAAAACAAAAAAATAGCTGTATCTTTTTATACTTTTTCTTTAATTTATAAATTTTTAATTATTTTGTTCAACAATTATCCTAAATATTCTAACAATCATCCTAAATAGTTACTCATAAACTTCCTTATTAACTAATTTTAATACTTTGTTGAATATTTATTTAATATTTTTTAAAAATAAAATTTCAAAATCTTAATATACTTGCAATTTTTTCTAATTTTTTTAAATAATTAAATAAAAAAAATAATGAACAAACAAATTAGAAAAAAAAAGGAATGAATTAAGTTTCGTGAATTTACAAGGGTGGGTGGGACGTTAATTTGACGATATAAGAGAGGAAACTAATCTATACAAAATATAGTGCATTGGGCTTTTGCTGACAATATCTGGTATTGGACCTGAGCCAGTTTATGATTTGATGTGGTTGGGCCAATAGATCCTAAACATTAACATGTTTTACCCATTTATGGATGCCCAAATAATCAAAGCCAGACCAGCCCACATGTGCCCAGGCTGTTACGTAAATTCGTCAACTTGTTGAACTTCCATTCCTATAGTACCAATTTCGTAATGAATGCATTTTGACTAATGTTGACTCTCCTCCTAATTATTGTCCAAATTGATAACAGAGCACAACACGTGTACTTGATAGAGGGACATTTCTATTTTTTTCCCTTCTTTTTCCACCTATTCAATCAGCATCTTATCGATTTGAAACATGAAATCCAAAAATTTTAACCGGTCCATTAGAATGTTAATGGACCAAAGCGAGGGCAGGAGATATAGTCTTCATCATTGTACCTGCTTAAAAACCCTTCGTTTATCCCTGGTCCATTCCCGCTAACGGGGACAATTTTTATTCTCATCTCCGTCCGCGAGTAAATTATAATCCTCGTCCCTGTTTTTTCCGTACCCGCTCAAGTCCAAGCCCAAGTTCAAGCCAACATAAATTCTAAATAAATTTAATATTTTAAATAATCCAACAACATTATAAATAATCTAATACTACATAATGTAGCATAACACATTCGAACATAACAAATGAACCATGGATGTTTGCGTGAAGCATTGGATCCCACACAAAGAATACAGAAAAAAATGATTTATGTATCCAAAAAGAGTAGTAATCAACTTGAACGAAACACATATTATACATATATATATATATAACAGGGGCGGGGCGGGAGTAAGAGTAAGTTCATTCTCGTCTTCATTTTCGCGCGAGTTTTTATTGGAATTCCTGTGTACGTTAACCGTCCAATACGTATAGTCTATCTTCGGTTCAAACGGGACGAGCTTGAGCAAATATCCATTTTTCTCCGGTTCATTGTTATCCCTATAGTCCATTCAGGTGAACAGTTTCATTGGGTGTATGAGATATGCAACATTAGAGAGCGTCGTCATCTAAGAATTGAAGGTGGACAACAATAGCCGAAAGGTTCAAAGAGTACCAATTTAAAGACGATATTATAGATTACAATAAAAATTTANATCAATTCGATTTGGTCAAAAATAGATTTATTGTTCTAAAATTGATATATATATTACATAATATTCACCTAAATTAACAACTAACAACTTCAATTAAGTTTTTAACATAAATACAATAATATTAAGAACTCAATGTTTAAGATAATGCAACTATAACCATACAGAATACAAATAAATACAACTAGAATTCTTGTACAAACATAGAATTCATTGCTTAAATAGTGAATGAGGGAGACGCACAACAAAGACTTCAGAACAAATTAATCCTAAACTTAAAAATATAAATATGGTTATGAATATTCGGGTTGAACCCGATTTTAATATTCGGGTTCAACCTGGTAACCCGAGAGGTCAATTCGAGGTCCGCCCAAATTGAATTCGGATTAGTTTTTTGATCCAAGCTAAACCCAAATATTAAAAACCTAATCCAAGCCTTAATTTTTCGGGTTGAGCTCAGATTGAAATCATATTAACCTTCCCAAGTTGCACCCCTAGAAGTTATTCATATACAACTACTGCACATTGNGAGAGGTCAATTCGAGGTCCGCCCAAATTGAATTCGGATTAATTTTTTGATCCAAGCTAAACCCAAATATTAAAAACCTAATCCAAGCCTTAATTTTTCGGGTTGAGCTCAGATTGAAATCAGATTAACCTTCCCAAGTTGCACCCCTAGAAGTTATTCATATACAACTACTGCACATTGCAGAAGCAGTGAAAGGTGATGCCAGGCTTCTATTTGCATCTTTCAATAAGAATTCATCCTATGAGTTTAGAGTATCGTTGCAAAATGGAAAAACACAGTTTTAGTACTGTACCTATACTTTTAAACTAATAATAACGCATCATGTACTTATAATTAACCATTCAATGATTACAGATCATTCAATTCAAAANTTTTAGAGTATCGTTGCAAAATGGAAAAACACAGTTTTAGTACTGTACCTATACTTTTAAACTAATAAGAACGCATCATGTACTTATAATTAACCATTCAATGATTACAGATCATTCAATTCAAAATCACTCACTAAGATGGATGAAAGTATAGCCTTACCCGATTTTATATAAAATGACTACTAACGAGACATGATTCACCATGAAAATGGTAATAAGCAAATGAGGAGGCTGCAATATATCAAACTCAAGTAGTAATCGCAGGATCTATGACTACACTCAGTTCATTATATAGACTTGTTCTAATTAAACAAAAAAGGCATTCGTTTTCTGCATTTTTGTCATCTAGCTAGTATTGTCAGTAAGCAGTAACAATCAGTTAAAACAACATAACTGTTAGAAGTGGCCAAATAACTTCCCTCTTCTCTAAACCAACTGCTTCCCCAAATCTAAACCTTGCTACCCTTCACTCATTCCATAATGCAAACATAGGTGCTTGATGAACCATACCCAAATTTCCTAGCTGATAAGTGCTTGTGGGATCGCTTCCATTGTCACCATCTCCATACTTTGGTCCTTGCAATGAGAAATATGCTTGAGAATAATCTCCTCCAACAGCAGACTCGCCAACCAATTCAACCGAACCTGAACCGGAGCATTTAGGGCTTTGTGGGCAAGAGGAGTTCATGCTGTTTGAACCCACCAAGGGTACACCATTAGGTCCATTGTTACCATCTGTGTTCTGATGCTGATGTTCATCAGGGCTAGTGTTCCACACCATGTTGGTGAATCCATCGGAGGGGTCACCATTTGATATTGCCAGAAGTGACTGCTGAGGAGAAGTTGATGAGGCACAAGAGTTATTGTCCTCAAGGGGAGCAAGAGCAGAGTCCTTCGGGGAACGCTTGGCTAGGTCTCCAGCAATCAGGGTTGAGCTTGAGCATATCCTCTTTACATCATACCTACTAATATCAAAATTGGTCACAGCACTTGTTCCCCTAAACTTGATTGCCGCGATATCATAGGCTTCTGCAGCTTCCTCTTGTGTACCTGGATCATTTGAATGGTTAGTTGTAAAGGCAATTGATGACAGTAATTGTGGATTTCCAAAATTGCCGAATGTTGAACAAACCCTATTTCAATTGAAATACACGAGACCAATTAACACATAATTAACCAATAAGTCTTTGGTTCAACGGTGTCTAATTTAGGTCAAGGGTTCAAATTCTCCTCCCTCTCCCCCCACAAAAAAAAAATAATAATAACACATAATTAATGGTCAGATAATAGTAATTACCCTGTGTAGCTATATATTATAGTTGAAATTAGACCATAATCTAAACAGGAGTTCTTCAATCAAAAACCAAAGGTCCTTTTTTGGCTGATCACCTCTGTTGTGAATTCTCATATTATGACATCAATTGAGAAATCTCAATTAGATAGTGAAGCATGTCTTAGACAAACAAATAATAATCCCAGTAAAGTTGAACAAAAATTAATGATGGTCATGAATAATCAGCTAAAAGGACATAAAACTTACTGAAGGTACCAAGGTACAAGTCCTTGTTGCCTGCAACCCTTCCTATTCTAGCTTGCCACCTTCCATGCTGATGATGCCTGCCAAAATTGAAAGTAAATCAACCAAACATACCAGAAAGGAAAGAAAGATATTGTGATGGCCCTGATAGATACGCTTTAACTAATATGCTATATCTATATGTTCTCAATATCATATGAAAATATACAATAATATTTGGCTATGCCTATTATTGTCCACGATAATTGCAAAAGCTGCAAAAATGCAGTAAATAATGGAGACTTTATCATAAAGGTGGTTTTTTTTTTCCTGGCACAACCTAGTCACTCCTCTGTACATAGAGGCTCCTCTCGAAAAACCACTGCTGTTCCTGTTAGAACAAAGAACAGTTTCATCATTAAAGTCAGCATTTCCTCCAACAATTATTAAAAGGGTTGTTGATGGGTTTTCAACAAATGCAAAAATGAGCAAATGAGAGTACCTTCTTAAATTGGCAACAAACTCTTGTCTGTTCATGTTTTTCATCTCTTCAAGCTCTTTCTCATAAGTGCTTAGCTGGTTTTTTAGTCACAACAAAGCTTAGTTTTTGCTGCTTAATAAGTGACATTTTGAACTTGTTAACAACAGGAGCTTCCTAAAAACTTACAGGGAAATTTATATGGGTAGTTGGACCCCAATACTTCAAAGCAGCTAAATCGTAAGCTCTAGCTGCTTTTTCCTCTTTATCATAACCACCTGATGCAGAATAAGCAAACAATAAATCAAAATGCCAAGATATGCTGTTTATGAGAAACGTGGTAATGGAGATGAAGTTCCACCTACCAAGGTATACTGTTTGAAGAATAGATGAGAGCCGAAGAATCCAGAAGTTGCAAGAAAAGCCACCGTTAGTGTATATTCTTAATAAAGAATGGCATATAAAAGGGGTGAAGAAAACCTGTGATGAGAACGTAATTTCATGATCATTCTCACCTTGTCTTCCTTTCCTTGTCTGTCCTTCTTTTCTGCAGCTATTATCCCATAAATGGGCTTCATACCTCCCAGTCCATCGATGCCTAGTATATACATTCATTATCCCACAAAATTTCAGAATGGGAAAACGAAAGAACTCAGCAAAAATCAAACGAATATTCTCAACAGTATCTGAAAAAAAAAAAGATTAGAGAAAAATGAGTATCCAAGTGCCTTGTAACGCCACGATATTGAGAAGTTCTTTGCCCAAAAGTATCAATTGATTTACGAGGCACCGGTTCTCTGGTCACAGATTTGGCCACCGGCCGCTTTCGGTTATCGGCCATCTGCAAAGGTGAAGCCACGGACATGCCAGGCTGTGAGCTTGAGCTCATGGTGAGTGAGAGAGACTGAAAGTAATTTCTGTCAGTTTCTTCAGCGGAAGCTCCCTCTACTGAAAATGGTGTTTGGCGCAACCAAGACTTGAACCCAGAAACTGAAGTTGCACCATCAAATGGTACATGGTCGTACATGCCATTGTTTAGGCTGGGATCACAGCTTTGAAGATGATCATGAGTAGTAGGGATGATAGAATGTGAGTTGTTATTGTAATGATAACGTGGGATTAATGGAGATGGGTTTGCAAGATTTTCTCCTCTTTCAATGTCTCCGTTTGAGTTCTCGAAGTTCGGTGGTGAGTTAACATTGATCCTTACTTGTTGGTTTTGGCAATAAACACTGGGCTCTTTGGAATGAGAACTCGAGTAGCAACCCAAGAAATCTTCAAGCTTCGGACTCTCTCCGTTTGGAATTGATGCTGCATCCATGGTGTTCTCATATCTCCACTCTTAAGATATAACCAAAAGAAATGAAAAAAAACCACAAAACAGAAGATTAAACTTTGAGAACATGGAAAAAAAACAGATTCAGACATCACAGTAATTAAGTGGAAAGAGAGACCTCGAGAACTACTTTTACGAGCTTAAGATTAATCGAACAGTAAAAAATTTAAAAGAAACAAATTAAGGAAGAAGAAGATTCAGTTCAAAAAAGTTTTATGAGCAGCGTATGAAAAAGATGCAAAATAGCATAGAATATCTTGTGACAAGATAATATAAATAAGGTTTACATGTATACCTTCACCATTAGAATGCCTGAAGGAGTCCATAACACACAGAGAACCATTAGAACGCAGAGGCATGACCGACATATGTGAAGAAAAATCACCTCCTTCTCCTCCACCTCCTCCACCGCCCTCGCCTCCTTGGTTTTCTCCCCCAAAACCTTCATCATCGGCTCCCAGATGTGGAGTCAGAGAGAACCCCAACCAACTACTCATGATACTATGTTATCTCGTTTACTAAACCCCTCTCTCTCTCTCTCTCTCTCTCTCTCGACAGAATCACACAAAATCCCAAACCACTCACTCTCTCTCCCTCTAGAACTTTGTGTTTCTCTCTCTTCTCTTACTTGTGTTTGTGGACTTTGAGCTCAAACTTCAAAGCTAAGAGAGAGGATGTAGTATATATTTACTTGGCAAAGTGTGGTTAAAACAAGAAGCGAACGAAACACAAACACGAGACTGTGTGGACTGGACATACAAATATCGTCATCATAAAGTCTGGTTTGTAAGCTACTGTTTTTTTTTGGGTCTATGTTTGTAAGCAACTGTTGGAAAATTTATATTTGGTGCAGAATCTAATATCATCTTTATTTCTTCAGGTCTGTGTCCTGTTTTTATGGTAATACCTCGGGCTTCGTTCCTCCTTTCATTTTCTTTCCCAGTTTCTGCAGAGGGGATGGTCATGAGAGAGAAGACAACAAATTTATGAGCAGATTAAAGCAAACCCATCCTATGGTTTCAGTATAATTACCAATTTCTCTTTTCACGTTTAATAAAAATGTAAAAATTACCATTTAAGGTCAAAATAATTAAATTAAATTAAATAATTAAAAAGTATATTGACGATAGAAAATTCATGTAATCAATCTTAAAAATAATAAATTAACTTTTATTGAGTTGAGTTTACTTGTATCAACAATAGTATTAGTAGAAACCCGAAAAATATGTTCCAACTATCATTATCATAATATACTTAGTATTTGGTCTAAGGATGTTTAACAATACTATATATTATCAATATATTTATGGGTTTTATAAATTAATATTTATCAATATGGGTTTTGTAAGTTGGAGTTGAGTGATGAACGATAGATATTCATACACCCAACGACATGTTGGGCACTAGACCATTCGATATGGGAATGGCCCAAAGCCAAGTAATAATGGTAGCTCAAACCAACAAATATTTAATTAAATTATATACGTTACAGAACAATAGCAGCAATCCTAGGATAAGACTGTTCTCAAATGATGCGAGGGAAAAAAATTACCATAAAAGGAGATAAAGAATTGTGTGTGTTCCTATACTTCGTTGTTATTATTATTTTTTTTTAATTTTTACCTTAGTTGTACTTGTACATAATACATTTAGGGGTGTTTAAATTGCAGATTTTTATCTTATCCGACCGTACTCTACTGAACAACTAATCACAAAAATCAGGTAAAAATACGGAACAGTTTTTTGTCTTCTAATTAAATCGGATAAGAATACAGAATACCTATAAAATTTCGTATTCCTACTCTACCCTACTCGCAAAAAATATACTTAACATTTTTATATTTTTGTTTAGTAATTATAAGAGTATTTGTGTGGTATAATTTATATTATAACATTGTTATTGTTGTGGATGTTTGAGTTGAAAAAAATGGACTTATTTTTTGTTTAGGGTACATAATTTGTGGTGAACTAATAATCTATTGGAGCAATTATGATTTTAATGTGTTTCATGTAGTTTAAACTTAAAATAATTGTTATTATATTTGTGTAACAATTACGATGAATTGATGTTCTTGCTTTCTTATGTGTTATTGTAATTATTATAAGTTTTAGTATTATTGATTTATTGTGTTGTTAAATTGGTGCAAATTATTTAATTGAATTGTTAAAATGATGTAAAAATTAATAGCTACAAAAGTGTTTATCCAACTTCCTACCCGATTAGTCGGCTAAGAATACTATACCTGATCGGGTAGGGTAGGTCAAAAAAACATTATTCCACAAAATATCGAGTAGGAAGACAAAATATTATATTTCTTACCCATAGGGTAAACACCCTAAATACATTGCTGGTATTTTATATTTTTAAAATATCAAATTCAAAACTAATTAATAATGAGTGGGGTGACTGAACCATTCACTCTATGAACTACATTTGGGTCTAATTAATTTTTTGATGTACATCAATATATTTTGCATCCAAACATTATGCAATATTTCTTGAAAAAATTTTAGAAANATTTTTTGATGTACATTAATATATTTTGCATCCAAACATTATGCAATATTTCTTCAAAAATTTTTAGAAAACTATGGCACACGAGAATTAGAAAATATATAGGGATGAGGTGTAAATTTAAATATTTTGTGTTCAAATCTTGATAATTTTTTGAGATCAAATCATGATGAATTTATTTCTCATGAATATTTTAGTTCCAATGTAAATGATGTGCGTTTAATCGGACCGGAGAAGAGGTAGTTGCATAAACGAATTAAAAAAAGATGAAGTAGTAGATTAATAAATAATAAAAAAAAAAGTAGATTAATATATATCGACCAATAATGAACTCTTAATTCCATCCAATGATGCATAGATAGAATGGTAAAACTCAGAAGCCTGGGCCAATGTGAGCCCACAATGAAACCAAAGAGATCCCAATCTCTTTTACAAAGGAAAATGCTTATCAGTGGTCCGGATTGCTTCACCATAAAGTCTTAGTATTTCTTTATTATAAGATTGGTCCAAAAGCAGTACATGCAACTATTTTTTTGGATTACTTGATTTGATAGCCTTTAATAGGTAGGTGGTTATAATAAAAATGGGCTGCAACCATGCGTCTCTAACGGTATAAACTTTTGTGTTATTGTCCATTAGTCCTATTGTAGCTTCTTGTTTAAATTTTGGCCCAAACGGCGATGCCCACAGAAGCTATTGGGTTGGGGTGATCTCATTGCAGGCCCAAGATTCTCTCTNAGGAAGCTATTGGGTTGGGGTGATCTCATGTCCAGGCCCAAGATTGGCGGATGCCCCAGGAAGCGCTAGTTGGGGTGATCTCATTGCAGGCCCAAGATTCTCTCTCTCTCTCTCTCTCTCTCTAGATATCTATACAATAATACACTAGCGACTTGTTTGGTTTTTGAGAATAGAAATGGGTGAATTAAATAAAATAATTTGCTCTAATACAATATAGAAGGACAAAAGAAAAAATTAAATAGGGTATTAGAATATTGCGTAATTTTATCTAGTGTTTGGTAATACACAATATAAACGTTGGATAATAANCTGCTCTAATATAATATAGAAGGACAAAAGAAAAAATTAAATAGGGCATTAGAATATTGCGTAATTTTATCTAGTGTTTGGTAATACACAATATAAACGTTGGATAATAATTATTTAATCCAATTGGTTGTTTGGTTAAACAATTATTTTATCGTGTTAATGTTGAATTAATAAAAATATCCTTTGTTATATTGATGCCACTTTGATTTTATCAATTGGAGGGCTATAATGGTAAATGTGTAAAATAATATGTTTGAGTTAGATTATAATACTATTTTTTTTATGGTATTTAAATATCTCTATAATACAAGTAATATACGATTAGTATACGTTTTTTTTAAATTAATATGGTATTAAATTTGTTTGTCAAACAAATTATTAGGCCCGATTAAATAAAAAATAGTACAACCTAATATTTAATCCGCTCATAATACGTCTACCAAACAAACCGTAGGAGTTTTGATCATTTAGATGTGACGATTTATTTTATAACTTACATTTTAATTTTTTAATCACAACAAATTATTTAATTTTGGGAGAATTACACTAAAGTTTCTTGAAATTTGTCTTTTAATCACTTAGATTATTTGGCATTTGAAATATTAGAAAATTTGAATTTTTATTTTTGATTTTATTTCAATAAAAGATACAATAGAACATGAATTTTAATTATAAAATTTAAAATATTTGACATTATATATATATTTTTTTGATAAATGAGAATAAGATTTAAAAGCATCCTAATGTAGCATGGAGGGGATGTGCATTCATATCCACTTGAGCCTTTGTTGAATTTGACAGTTGGTCTAGCCAGAGTGGACCTATATAACCCATAGCGAGCCCCCATCTTGCAAATTTATGAGCAACACCATTTGAATTAAATTTAAGGAGTCTAAGTAATATATGTTTACAAATTTTAGGGGGTGTAGGTGTAATTTATTAATTGATATATTTACAGTTGGAGTCCAAGTGTTATGTGCATTTAAATTTTAGGGGGTTTATGTGTAATATTTTAAATGTCAAGGAATTTAGGTGATTAAGTGACAAACCTCAAAGAACTTGAGTGTAACTCTACCTTTAATTTTTAATCATAGTACATCATTTAAGTTTTCAACAAATATTTTAACAACACTTATATTTTAATTGCGATAAAAAAAGCCCTTCAAACCAAGTACCCTAATATATAAAGGAAAATATTATTTAATTCAAATTTGTAACTCAAATTTGTATTTCAAATGAACGGGAGACTATTGGATAAGTAAGTTTCATCAACTTTTTTAAATGAAAATTTACTGATCCAATAGTCCTTATCGATTTGTGATACAAATTTAAATTATACAACATTGCTCATATATAAATATGAATAAAAAACCTTTCCCAAATCCTATTCTTTTAATTTAGGAATCATTGACCCCAACCTCAAAGCGTTTCTTCCTTGTTGCATGTGGTCCAGCATTGGAACATGCACTGGCGCCCCAACCCCAAGGTCGGTTCCTCACCGTAGATATGATAGCCAGTATATAGTTGACTGTTAGATCAGACGGTGCATTTCACGTTTTTCTCATGTTTTTGTCTGCTTTCGAAAGGATTGTGTTTGAAAATGGCTCTGGTGTGGGGGACCATTTCCTGATGTCCTTATTAATGGTTTATACCGACCCTAGCTTCGCCTTCCTCTGGAATAATGTGGAACGATGGATTTCCCAGCTTAGGACAAAACTTTGGGCCTCAATAATTATAAAAACTGATGACTTTTGCCAATCAATTCCTACGTGTGTTTTTCAACAAAGTTTTGGTGATATCATCACAGTATGCATGCAGGTTTCAACTGTTCCATCAGTAATCAGCCATATTACAAGAGTGTCATCCATCATTGTTGCTGTGGTTGCAAATTATATATGGAGAAGTTGCTCTGCTCTTCCAACTTTTATAGAAGGA